TATAAACCGTGTGCTAGACTATGAGACCGAGAGGTAATTAGCTCACATGTGGTAGTGGAGGAAGAGAAGAGAGTTAGTAGCTCCCCCTTCTTAAGCTAGAGGTTTCCATAGAATCTAATGCTCATTAGTTTGTTTAAAATTACATAGAAATATGATTAATTTAACAAACCAGTGAAGGATTAACTTGACTTGAGAAAGCTAGTTAATTAATTTAGGGAAATCCGCCATCACATGCAATAACACTCAACAATTTGGTAATCTAAAATTTATATTGATTGATTATGGTGAAGTTAATGCCTTAGTACCTTATATCTTGGTTAGGTTTAATTTAATTGTTATTTTCCTTTTATTATTTTAGTTAAACTTTCTTCCCGTTTGGTTGTTCAAATAAATTTGGATTAATTATTTTGGTACTTAGTTAGACACAATCCTCGTGGGTTCGACACTCTTCTCATCATTATATTACTTGGAGCGACTAGTATACTTGCTAGGGTGATTTTAGTGCATCGCACATCCCACGTAATGGTTTTGGTTTTCTAGGCTTTGTTTCGAAGAGAAGACTGATCTAGTTTGATGCAAAGAAAAAAAAATTATTTCTTTCGTTTCATTTTATTTTTTATATTCTTATTTTGCACTTTTTTTTAGCAATACTTTTTTTTTTATCAGTGAAACAAATGATATATATTAATCAAGAGTATAAGAAATACCCCAAAATGGAATTACAACTATCAAGTAAAATGTTCAAATGAAATCACATGAAATCACACTTGAAGCTTAGAACCAGCCACTAGTATTTGACAATTTAGCACATGAATCAGCAACAATTAAGTACAGAAAATCATCCCACATCTCGCTGCCGCATGTGATACATTTTCCGATTACTATGATGCTGAATAATTGCTTCCCTGCACTCCATCAGACTTGAGACCCATTCTTGATAAGAAAAAACACTCCCTTTCTCTTTATTTTTAAGCCATAAAAATGATTTATGTTGTATATACTCCAAAACTAACTCCTCAGACATCAACTTTGTTCCAAACACCTGCATATTCCGTCGAAACCAAATAAACCAAGCAACAATTAGAAACATGAAAGCCCCTAAATCCACCAAACACCTAAATCCACCAAACAACCCCCACTAATACCATGCGTCACGAACTCTGCCAAACCGAAAATGTCTTTCGACAAAACACCCTGTAATCCCCACCATCGCAACACCTTCATCCACACTAACCATGCTGCTTTACACTCACAAAAAATATGATTCACCTGATCCACTCCCTCCCCACATAATCCACAACTCACATCCCCCCCCCCTCGGCAGTCCAATCCCTCTCTTGAATAGGTTATCCTTAGTTGCCAACCTATCCAAAAATAATCGCCACCCAAAAACACTCACTTTAGACGGAGCAAACTTGCACCAAATGATTCTCACCCATTTCTCACCCAAAAGATCATCCTTAAGAGCTAAAAAACCATATGCATCCTTAACAGAATAAACACCAGAAATACTATGGGCTCATCTCCATGAATCATCTTTATTCTCCTTTACCTTGATTCTATTAATAATCTCCCTAAACCTTTCTTCCTCCTCACCAACCCTCCCGGAATAGCTTCGTCGCCATCTACAATCCCATACCCATGTGCCCTCACTCCAAAAACCCATATCCTTCACTAGCCCCTCCTTGGTCAACGATAACGCATACAATCTCAGAAATAAATCCTTTAAAGGTTTATCACCAACCCACTTATCATCCCAAAAAGCCACTTGACTTCCATCACCAATCTCTCATTTAAAGCCTTTTCCTAGCATTAAACCCAACCTCTCCGACCCACGACCAACACCCACAATGTCCTTCCACACTCGAGACATATGCAAGGAGCTGAAAGAAGTAATATCAACCTCCTTTCGACCCTCGTAATACTTCTCCCAAATCACTCTCTTCCATAATCCCCCGACACCATCACCTAACATAAACCACCACTTACCCAAGAAAGCCCAGTTTCTCCTCTTTAAATCATCCACTCCTAAACCCCCTCTCTCTTTCTCCACACAAATATGATCCCAACTTACCCATGCAATTTTCCTCTCCAAATTTGCTCCACCCCAAAAGAAATCTCTCTGAATCTTAACTATCTCAACAAGAACACATTTTGGAATTTTAAATAACAACAAATAAAAAATAGGAAGAGCAGAAAGTACCGAGTTGAGCAAGGTAATTCGACCTCCAAAAGACAACAGTGAACATTTCCAGGCGGCAAGTTTATTCCGAAATCAATCCAGCACAGAAACCCAAAACTTTTTCCTCTCCAAAATTCCTCCAACCGGCAAACCAAGGTAAGTAAAAGGCATTGTTCCTATCTTACAATGCAAAATATCAGCTGCACCATTTAACCGCCCTTCTATAACATTAAACCCATACAAATGGCTCTTGCAAAAATTGATCTTCAATCCCAAAATTAATTCGAACCAGTGTAGAATAGCCTTCACTGTCCTTAAATTTTCTGCCTCTACCTTTCCCATAAAAATAGTATCATCCGCAAACTGTAGTAAAGACACGACCATACCTCCATCTCCAATTTTGACTCCTCTGAAAAGCCCTTCTGCCTTTACTTTTCTAACCATACCACACAACCCTTGACCCACTAACAAAAACAAAAATGGGGACAATGGATCACCTTGACATAGACCCTTGCCAACCGAGAACTCCTTTGTTGGACTTCCATTTATTAAAATAGATATCTGAGTTGTCGAAAGACATTCATGAATCCACTTTCTTCACCTAATTCCAAACCCCATTTGTTCCATCATCCAATCAAGAAAGTTCCAATCCACACAATCATAAGCTTTCTCAAAATCAGCCTTAAATATAAAACTCTCTTGTTTTCTCTGTTTCACCTCATCTACCACCTCATTCAAGACCAGCACACTATCTACTAGTTGTCGACCACCAACAAAAGCTGATTGTGAATCACTAATAATATCTGCCCTCACCATTTTTATTCAATTCGCCAGTATTTTGACAGTAATTTGTATAAACAACCAATCAGGCTAATGGGTCTATACTCCTTAAAATGCACTGGATTTACCTTTTTAGGAATTAAAGCCAAAAAAGAGGAATTTAAACCTTTTACTAACCTCCCATGTTGGTGAAATTCTAGCAAAAACTTCACAAAATCCTCTTTTAAAGTACTCCAGGCAAATTTTATAAAATTAAAATTGTACCCATCTGGTCCTGGCGCCTTCGCCCCATCATAGCTCTGTAGTCCCTTTTCAATCTCTTTTACTGGAAAAAGGTTGTTCCAACCACTCTCTTTGTGCAATTGAGATTCTGTTGAAATGAACTCCTCCCAACACTGGCCGTTTCCACTGTTCATTTCCACTGTTCATTATGAAACAACTAACTAAAATACCTCACTGCCTCCTCTTTCACCCTACTTGGCTCCTCAACCCACCCATCCTATCCTAAGATACCTAAAATTGCATTTTGTGCCCTTCGTGCATGAACACACCTATGGAAAAAAGCGGTATTTGCATCTCCAAAACTAATCCAATTATTTCTTGACTTTTGCTTCCACATAGCCTTTATTTTCCTCAAAATTTCCCACATCTCCTGAAAACACTCCCTTCTGAGTAACACCTCATTCTCATCTAATTCACTCTGTTCACTTTTTATATCTAGCGCTTCAATTTCCTTTGATAATATCCCCCATCGAGTGTCCACATTACCGAAAACTTCCTTATTCTACCTTTTACATTCATCCTTCATTAACTTCAGCTTCTGCTTGCATTTGTAAGCTACCCATCCTTCAACTTGCAAATCTTTCCACTTATCATCTACAAAACTTTTGAAATTTGGATGTTGTTGCCACGCATCCATTACCCAAAAAGGCTTTGGACCCCAATCTGTATTCCTTGCCTTCAGAATTATTGCACAATGATCAGAAACTGACCTTGCAACACCTTCTTGAACCCAATCCGTGGCCAATAAACTCATTTCTATAGACATCAAAAATCTGTTAAGTCTACTCATGGAAGATCCATCTGGTCTATACCATGTATACTTTCTATTTCGTAGGCAAACATCAATTAACCCCGTGCTTTCCACAAAGTGATTAAAATTATGCATATCCTGCGTCTCCCTCATTTTACCCTTTCATTTGAATACATTCCGGACAGCATTAAAATCTCATGCTAACAGCCAACACCCACCCTCTTCTAAAACTTGTCCAGCAATCTCCTCCCACAACAAAACCTTCCTTTGCCTATCACAAGGATCGTACACATTGATTACATTACATTTTTTCCTTTCCTTACCCCATTCACCAGAAACCCCAATGAAGCTGCTCCCCTCTATCACACATTGTTTAATAAAACAACTTTATTCCAAATGCACAACAAGCCCCTTGAGTTACCCATTGATTTCTGCATAACCCAATCAAAATTTTCTGAGTTCCACAATGCCCGACACAAAGACTCCTCAACCTCTTCCAATTTAGTTTCTTGAAGAAACAAGAAATCTGGATTCTCCTTCTTAACTAACTTAAGAATTCCCTCCTTTTCAACCCATTACCCAAACCTCTAACATTAAAGGAAATAAACTTCATAATGATAAAAACTCAACTCACTGTTTTCAACTAAACTCCACACCCGAGCTTCAGGGCCTTCTAAAATTGGCTTCATCTCGTCCTTCTAATGGCGCCAATCTTGAAATCACCTCTTCCTCATTATTTTGACATTGAATCCCCAACCCAAACAGCTTTCTTACCTCATCCAACTCCAGTTGCTTCCGGATCAGATTGTTGCGATTTTGAATACAACCATCGGACAAAGAAAGATCAGTTTTCTATGCTTTCTTCCCCTGCTCCAATTGTCTTGTTGTTTCCTTTCTTTCCTTCCTGCATCTGGTTCTTGCCGTCACCCACCGCAGCCCCATCTCCCTTGTTTCCTCCACTATCCCATCCCCGACATAAATGTCCCCCAATTTCTTACATTTTTTACCCAACACAGCTGCTCCTTTCTGTTGCGCTCCAGCAGGCCTAAGCCCCTCACGAGACCCATTTTCTACACCCAGCTCCTCAGCCTCCCAATCCCTTGGCCCAATCGAGCCCACATTACCCAGCCCATCCATCTCTAGGCCACTTAAATTCAAAATTTTGAACTACATTCTGTTTTAAACTTAGCTTTGATTCTGCTTCCGTTTCTGCACAATCTTCGGCCATAACTGCTCTATCATCACCTTCACTGTAACGGTCATCGAAGTTATCGGACTCCATGTCAGACACGTCCAAACTCGTACCAGAGCTCCTCCGTTCACCGGCTAGTCACCAGTCTGGATCCATACGCCACTCCTCCTCTGATACCTTGATCAGAAAAGGCTCTCCATCCACCATTAGAGTGATAGTCTGCGAACTTTTCATGGTGTCATCACACAATACCAAGACCCGACCTTCACACAAAAATGATTTAGATTTTGTCTCATCATCAACAAGTATTACTTCACCAATTAAACCTGCTAACTCCAAGAAACACCTCTCACTCCATGCTCGCAATGTAACACCATTAAAACAAAGCCACACCAACCTATTTCTCGATGGCATAGTAGATAATGAAGTTGGCTGTATCCATTCAAACCAAGACTCTACCAATTCCTTGTTTTTATCAATAAACTCCTCTAAGTAACCCTCCGTATTATCCATTAACAAAACATGTCTTCCCCCTAGCAGAGCAACATTCACCAATAAACCATCCACATCCAGTCTATTTTGTATTTTTATCACCAAATCCAATGACCGAACCAGTGTCACTCTACTTTGTCTCAACCATGCAACTTCATCCTCCTTGGGAGAAAACTGCAGAACCAACTCCTTCGGCACATAAGTATTGGCATCATTTGCTGTTGACGTTGAAGCCTGATCCGGTATTGACACTGGTATCACTACCAACTCTTTTGACATTGCACCCTTTGTTTCTAGACCTGCCACTTTCTTCTCCGATACATGGTTCAGCGACTCCCCTTCTTTAGATGCCTTAATTTTCCCAACAACAATCTGTGCATATGTTATCCCAGGAGACACCTTTCTATCTCGTCTGATCCACTGTGCTGTTGTCTGCTTTTGCTGTCGTCCTCTGGACATCTCTTCCCTCCTGGATTTCATGTTTTCTGCCAATTTCACCTTCAGATGATACGAATCCAGCCAAATTTGATTAAGCTTTCTTTCCATATCCTTGGTATCTGCAACCTCAGACATCCAAACAAATCCAAAACGACGCCCTCTCCGATCTCTCCTTTCTGGAATATAAACATCTGCTACTTTCCCGAAAGATCAAAATCTATACCACAAATCTTTAGTAGAATGATTCGTCGGAATCATAGAAAAAGTATGTCGTCACTTGCCCAATGAAGTGCTTACCGTATCCTGGGAGCCTCCGTCGGAAACCACTGTCGCTGTCCTTGGCTGTCAGAAACCTGTCTCGAACCCTAACTCTCTCTCTCTCTCCATCTCTTTTTTTAGCAATACTTTAATATAGTATATAATTATTAATTAAAAAATTTTTTTTAATTAAACCCTTTGGACAAAAATTATGTGACGAAAAGAAAAATAATTTGACTTTTAGAAAAATATTACTTAAAAAAAGTGGTATGTGCATTTGGTATATATGAATCTGAGTAACACTTCTCATCTTATTAGTCCATTAAATTAATTAATTAATTAATTAATTAATTTTAAAAATTGCATTCGACAAAATTGTGCAGGTAGCATTTCTCTTACTTAAAATTGGATACAGAGTTAAAGTGTGAAAAATAAGATGAAAAGAAACTAGAGTATTATCTTTAGGGTAGGGAATTTGAATTTGGAGTCTTACATTACCCCGAACCCATATTTAAACAACTTGACTAAAATGTTATGGGTTATTGACTGGCGGAGAGTATTAATTTGTCACTAGCCTTCAAATTAAGGATGCCCCATGATGGTCATTGCAGGAACATGAATTTGTGATATATGGAGTTTTCTTTTGGTATGAAAATGTGGTTCTCAACACAAGAGTAGAATCCAATTTAAAATCAAATTGGTAAATTCGTGATGAGTAAGTCATCAGGTACTTAATATATATTTCTGTTTTACTACTTTTTTTTTTTTTTTTAATGATGGATTTCTTCCCTCAACATGCCTGATTCTCAATAACTAATTTTTTATTTTAATTTTTGATATCTAAATGGTATTCATGAATTTAAGTTATATATATATTTTAAATTTTAAGTTGCCCAATACGAGGTAACATTTTTTAACCAACTTAAGATTTTTACTTTTACAAAAATGAGGTAGTTACTATATTATTATTATTATTATTATTATTATTATTT